GGCCCGGGCTGGGGATTCAAACCCGCCACCTTAGGTGTATGTGGCTGGCCCCTTAGCCACTTGAGCCACAGGCGCTGAGCCTAATTTTTCTATTTTTAGTAGAGACAGGGTCTTGTTCTTGCTTGGGCTGGTTTTGAACTCCTGAGCTCAAGGGATCCACCTGCCTCAGTCTCCCAGAGTACTATGATTACAGGCATGAGTCACCATGTCCGGCCATGAATTGTATCCATTATAAGATACTGGTAAATGTAAGTAAAATGCCTTCCTGAGTTTTGTGAGCTATTCTAGCAAGGAGACCCTCAAGGAGAGGGTCGTAGCACCCCCAGTTGCTGGCTGGTTGGTTGGAACTACAGGAAGGTTGTACTTGTAGTTGGGATCTGAAGCAGGGGAATGTGGGGACTCGGTCTTATAGGACTGAGCCCTTTGACGTGTGGAATTTGATGCTGTCACCTGGTGGGCTGCGTCAGAATTGGATTAAATTGAGCTCAGGAGGCATAGTGCCTGTTCTTGGTGCCATCTTGCAGGGCCCTGACCCCTGTTGGGAGAGGGCCTGTCTTGTCTAGCACCCCTGTCCCATCCCCGGGAAGCTGACTGGCATTTCCATCCACAGCACATTCAGGAATTCACCAATGAGACGTGGCGGGCACGTACTGGCGGTCCACTGCCTGACCGCCTCATTCTGCTAGTGTGGTCCCTCATCGTGTCTCTGTACCCCTTGGGGGGCCTCTTTGGAGCTTTGCTAGCAGGACCCCTGGCTGTCACACTGGGAAAGTGAGTGCGTCCAGTGTACCACTGAGTACCTTTAATGAAGGGCTTCCCAGGCTCCAGGCTGAGGAAGGTGGGAGAAGGAAGATGCCTGGCAGCGTTCAGGCCCAGACCAGCTTCCCAGCCTTTTAACTCTGCCAGAGGTTTCCTCTGAGAGTCACATTCTCAGGGAAATTGATGGAGGAAAGAGAATGTGCTCTGAGGACTCCTGGTTTCTAGTTCCGAAGTGGTCCTTGACTTTAAACAAGTATTTTCTCACTGGGCCTTGCATTCCTACTATGTGTATGATGGGGTTCTTGGGCTAAATATAAGAAAACTGATTGTGGCTGACATCATCAAAAATTGTAGTAACTGGAAGGCTACTGGGACGGTTCACAGAATGAAAGGAAGTGCTTAAAATGCAGGCCTTGCAAAGGGCAGGAACCAAGGTGGTGTGGAGGGTCCTGACAGCCAGAGTTTGGACTGTCCTTCTGGGAAGGCGTCTCCTGCACACTCAGCTCCAGCTTGGTTCTCTCTCCAACATCTTCTTTCAACGTTGTCTTAGTCTGTTTTGTGTTGTTATAAAGAAATACCCAAGACTAGGTACTTTATAAGGAAAGGACGTTTATTTGGTCATGATTCAGATGGAAACTTCACGTTGGGTAACTGCATCTGAGGGCCTCAGGCTACTCCCACTCATGGCAGCAGGTGAAGGGTAGCTGGAGTGGCCACACGGTGAGAGAGGAAATGAAACGGGATTGGGGGGCGGGGTGCCAGACTCTTTGGAAAACCAGCTGTCTCAGGAGCTAACAGAGTGAGAACTCATCCCTGAAGGATGAGAACCTTCCTGTTTGTGAGGGATCTGCCCCCATGACACAAACACCCCCCCCCCCAGAAGGCCCCAAATGAAGGATTTTGTGGGAGAACAATGGTTAATCTGGAAGGAAAAGAAACCATAAAATATAAATACAGTTATTTGAAGCCATGGTCAGGCAGAAAGGAGGGTAATTTGGGGATTTGTGATAGGAAAAGAGGGCAGTGGTCACGGTGTACACAAGCCTGGGGAACTAGCAGTCATCTCCATTCATATTGCTCCAATGCCTTCAAACGGCTCACACACACATCTGTGCATCTCATCAGGGCTGGATGGAATTGCAGAGAGAGGTCCCCAGGGCCTGCCCCTCTGGACTGAACCAGAGCCCTCTTGCTGTGTTCCACTTCCCCCAAGGAAGAAGTCCCTTTTGGTGAATAACATCTTTGTGGTGGCTGCCGCGATCCTGTTTGGCTTCAGCCGCAAAGCAGGCTCCTTTGAGATGGTGATGTTGGGGAGACTGCTCACGGGAGTCAGTGCAGGTATGGGGGCATCTCATCCTGCCTCCACGTTCCTGTTCGCTCATAATTCCCTTTATTTCCTCTGTTTGTTGATTTATTTGTTCTTTATGCCCACCTCTTTTGCAAAATGATGAAATATGGTTTATATTAAAAGGCTCATATAAGCAGGCATTTAAAAACAGGTTTATAAAAGTGAAAAAGTTATACAGAAGTGGGGGGACAAACATCTCCAGACTAATCCTCGCAGAGGTCCCAGGTTTGAGCAACACTCTGCCAAGAGTTTCCCGTGGTGTAAAGGGATGGAGGTGAGTTCTCTGATCTTCCCTAAGAAACAGAACAGGCTGGTAGGAATGCCTCCCTTTCTGGGGCTTGTTGTGTAAAGGAGTGGAATTTTGAAAACGTCTACATGCACTTTGGGGGGCTCCAATCTACAAGTCACCTCTTGACCTTGAACTGTTATATAGCCACATGTTAATGTGTCTATTAGATGTCTATACCTATGAAACAAACTAACCCAAAATTTAGTGGCCAAAAACAACCAGTATTTATGATCTGACAGTTCTGTGGGTTAGGAACCAGGCATGCTGAGGAATCTGAGTGCTCCTGGCATGGGGGTCTCTCATGAGGCTGTGCTCAAGCTGTCAAGCAGGGCTGCAGGCGTCTGAAAGTGTGGCTGGGGCTGGAGGATCTCCTTGCCTGGGGGCCCGTCCCAGGCCGTTGGTAGGCAGTCTCAGGTCCTGTGGGTCTCCCCTTGTGGGTTCTTGTAACACGGCCACTGGTGTCCCCCACAGTGAGTGATCAGAGAGGGAGAGAGGCAGAGGCACAGAGTGAGCACAGGGGCAGTCCTGGTGTCCCAAGTCACACTCCATTGGTGTTTCCACATTCCAGTTGTTGAAAATGAGTGGCTAAGAGCAGCCCACACCCCAGGGGAAAGGAAGCAGGTGAGGCTCTGTTTTCATGCCCTGAGAGCCCAGCAAAGGCTTCCCTCCCTAAACCATTGTGAGAAGAGCCTGGGCACCTGTGGGACGCCTCGTTGGCTGCTTTCCTCCCTGCTCCCTCTGCTCAGCTTGGAGGAGAAGGGCAGGTCCTTGGTGGGAGGACAGGTGCTGGGCTCAGGCCTGGTGGGGGCGGAGGGTGCGGTTGCATCCCCTCACAGCATTCCTGGGTGCTTGAGGCCCCAGACTGTGGCCTTCTAAGTTGTGTCCTTTGTCACCATCTGGGGTGCTCCCCAGTTCTCTGTTTCTCCACTGGCTGTGTGGGTGCCAGGGCTTCCCTGGGGGAGCCGAGATGAGGTGAGAAGAGGTCAGTGGCAGCACTGATGTGAGAGCTGGGACAGCTGGGGGTGCCTGGGCTACAGGTCTGCCCTCCTCCTCTCACGCCCCACATAGTCCTTCAGAGCCTTCACACTGAGGTCCCAGTGACAAGACCTAGGAAGAGTCCATGAACCTGTGAGACTGTGTTGAAGGACCAGGATGGAAGCTGATCTGAGAAAGCAGCATGGTTCTCAGAAGTCTGAGGGGTGGGAGTGGGGTCTCTTCTGGTGCTGTAAGTGACCCTGCCCTGTACGTGTCCAGGTGTGAGCATGAGCGTCCAGCCCATGTACCTGGGGGAGAGTGCCTCCAAGGAGCTCCGAGGAGCCGTGGCCATGACTTCAGCCATCTTCACAGCTCTGGGAGTGGTGATGGGGCAGGCAGTTGGACTCAGGTGAGAGCCCCTCCCCCCCATGTACTGAGTAGCATCAGAGATGCCCAAGCAGACCCTTCTGCACCTGGGTCTCTCCCCTACCCCCAAGTGGATTAAGGCTTTGTTTCTTTGCATGCTGACCCTAAGTCCCTTCCCATACGCATCCAAACAATGTGCAAAGCGGATATCAGGTGGTGTGAATCCCCTTTTTCCATCCTCTCTAGATCAGGGGGCAGAGGGCAGGTCTTGCCATAGGACAGGCTAATTATTTGGGATTTTTAAGGGGAATGTGTCCTAATCACCCCAGAAGAAAGAGGAAAGGGCCATGGGCAGAGGAGTTGCTGGGGATGAGATGGACGGCGGCCTTGCCCTCTCCTGGTCCCTGCCTGGGTGAGAGGGGTCTTGATGTCCATCCCCAGAGCTGGATAGGAAGAGGCATAGGGCAATGCAGACCCTCTGCAGGCAGGTGGGCAGAGGGCTGGAGGAGGGCCTAGGGGCAGAGACGGGTAGGGCTCTGGTAAGGGACTTCATGCCTGGCCTCTCCTCTGCCTCCCCAGGGAACTCCTAGGCAGCCCTCAGGCCTGGCCCCTGCTGCTGGCCAGCTGTGTGGTGCCTGGGGCACTCCAGCTCATCTCCCTGCCTCTGCTCCCTGAGAGCCCACGCTACCTCCTCACTGACCGTGGAGACACCGACGCCTGTCTAGCAGGTGAGTGTTGTGCCCAGGAGTTCCACAAAGACCACACTACCAAACAAGCTGAATTCATAGCAGAGTCCCTTTATTGAAGAGCTGGCCAGCAACTGCCTCAGTGTCCCAACATGGAGTTTCTGAGAGCAGCCCTGAGTGCTTAAAGGGTCAGGTTTTTAAGGCTTGGTCCGTATCCTGGTTGGCATGCAGGCTGTCCAGGTGCATTTAGGTGGGGTAGCAAGCAAGCATTGTACAGAAACAGAATTTTATGATTAGTTAGCCATATGTCATACATCTTTGTTTTAATATTTTTCCCTCCACACATCCTGGTTTCAGTAATTTTCCCACCTGATATTGTTTAAAGGTCAGTCCAGGGACAGTTGGTACTTCCTGGTCTGTTTCCCAGGGAGTTAGCCAAGCAAGAAACTGGGAATGAACTAGAAGCAAGAAATCTATTAATACTTTCTCTTTATCTTGGGGGTAAACTAAACTTATTTCATTTCTTTTTTTTTGCAGTTTTTGGCCAGGGCTGGGTTTGAACCTGCCACCTCCAGTATATGGGGCCAGCGCCCTACTCCTTGAGCCACAGGTGCCACCCATAGACTTATTTCATTTCATTTGAAAGCTTGCAGTCTGGAAATTTGCTAGGAGTTAACTAGTATTTTTCCATTATAGCTTAGGCCTGACACTTTTTTGTCTTAGCCTAGGCCCACTAGGCCTATCAGTGAGTCCCTGCTTTGAGCTCCCAGACCACCCTGGAGTAAGGAGTGCCCCTTCCAAGAATCCATGGGTCCCCATTTCTTGCCATTCTTTTCTGTTTATCAGGGAAAAACTATTCCTCTCCTTGTGCCTCGATTTCACAGTCTATCCATACCTCCCTATAGAACTCTTTATCAAGGAACTATCCTAAATGACAGGCAGAGGGATGGATCAGACCCAGCCTATTTAGGTGCACTGCAGGGTGGTGCAGAAAAGGGAGGGTGGAGTGTGCAACTCTGTCTTTCTCTCTCTCTCACACACACACACACAGTGAAACACCTGTGCAAGCCTTACCTGCCCAATGCCAACCAGGGTGATGATGTTCTTGTCGATTATGGCTAAAATAAAGATGCCCAAGGACCCAAAAAACAATTGCAAAATCTCTGGTAAAAAAAAAAAAAACAATCATTTACTGCATCTTTTACTCATTTACTCACCGGGCTGCGTGCACAGTTCTGCTAATCTCAGCTGGGCTGGCTCACGGCACTGGGGGTGTCAGCCAGAGAGTGGCTGGTCCCAGCCAGTCTGGGCTGGGCTGGGCTGGAGCAGTTCCGCTCTGCATCTCTTCTCTCACTTTCTGTACCAGCGAGCCTGGGAGTGTTCTTACTATGGGGATGGCAGAGACTCAAGAAAGCAAATCTAGCTGCATAAAGCACTTTCCAAACCTTTGGTCCCCTCGTGCCCATTGGGAGTCTTGCTGCTGAGTCCAGTGTCAGAGTTGGGGAAACTGGTGGCAAGGGACACAGGTTCAGGGAGGGGTGACGCCGGGCCGGTTAATGTTCTTTTCTCAGTTCACCATCATGGCCACAGTTATTATTTGTGTCTCTCCCTGGGAAAAATATGTTTAATCCCATCCCTCAAGCCCGAGAGTCTCATCTAGTCCTGGCATCAGGCCTGAGGGGCTAGATTTTAAGATCACATTAAGTCTACATGTGCCTTTTTTAGAGCCCCAGGATTTTTCTACATGTGCCTGATCTAGAGCCCTAGAATTTCAAAAGACAAGTCTCTTTCCCTCCTGCATGCAGCATACAGTGGTGCAAAGTGAGACAAGGTAACTAGAATTAACTTTCTTTTCAAAAATGAGGAGGCAACGAAGGCGCAGAGTGGTCACTGATGCATAACCATCCTGAAGTGGCCCCTGGGAAAATACTGCTAGGTGCCCCTGCCTTAGGGGTAGGGGATGTACCTTGGTCAACCTTTGGCTCTGAGCCCTGGAAGGGGTTCCCAGATTGTGGGTCTCTATGGTTCTTGCTGCCGCCTTGTAAAGTGGCTTTGCTTCTTTCTTTCTTTTTTTTTTTTTTGA